GTTGCCAAGTAGTGGTTTTCTAACTTGATTTTTTGCTGTTGTTAGGTGATATTGAATTGGTTCTGTCACAAAACAGAACAAAACACTGCCCTGTTCTGCATCATCTTCACAATTGTTATGTTTGATCTGGTTCTTACTGACACTGTGTCAGTTCACCCCCTTGAGGGTCTTCCTCTTTTTTGCTGACTTTCCACTTTATCAAGCATGATGTCCTTCTCCAGGAACTGGTCCAAAGTACGAGAGATGAAGTTTCACCATCTCGCTTATAGAAAGAAATATTCTGGCTGTTCTTCTTCCAAGACAGATTTGTTTTTTTGGCAGTCCATGGTACTTTCAACATTCTTCACTAACACCATAATTCATATGCATCGATTTTCTCTGGTTTTCTTATTGCATTATCTAGTTTTCACACGTATATGAGTTGATTGGAAATAATGTGGCTTGGGTCAAGTGCAGCTTATTCCTCAAAGTTGACACCTTTGCTCTTTAACACTTTAAAGGGAGCCTGGTGTGGTGCTGCGGCTTTATGCGCTGGACTGCAAGCTTGGTTTGAACCATAAGGTCAGTGATTCAAGCTCACCAGTCGCTCCTGGGAAACACTGTACAAGGTCTTAATGCATTTGAACCGACTCAGCAGCACTTAACAACATGAGTCGATGGAAGATAATGTGGTTTGGGTCAAGTGTAGGGTAGTCCTCAAAGTGACATCTTTACTGTTTTAACACTTAAATAAGAGGTCTTTTGCAGCATATTTGCCTAGTGCAATACTTCCTCAGATCTCTTGACTTCATGAGTGTTGATTGTGAATCCAAGCAAATTTATCATGACTCAATTTATTGATCCAGTGATGAGGATTTTCAGTTTACATTCAACGAATCATGTACTTTGCAATGATTGCAATCCCCTCCATGTACCATCAGTTAACTTTAACTCTTGCATTCCTCCTTCTGTCTCCCACTACCTTCATCTTTACTATTAACTTCCCTTTTGTTATGTATTGCCTGCCCTGTTATCACATGTTAACATGTATCTACTTTCTAGTCCTTGCAAAATTTCCCTCTCCCTCCCTTTATAACCATCATAGATTGTTTTCTTTTATCAAGAAACCTTTTTCTTAACTTTTTAAAACCTTGGTCTCCTACACTTCTCTGTCTTCCTGCTTTATCCTTGTTAGGAGGTATCTCATATACTCATCATTGTTCTTTAACGTTGTATAGTATTCCATTGTGTGCATGTACTAAAATTTGTTTAACCGTTCTTCTGTTGTTGGGGATGTGGGTCGTCTCCATCTTTTTTATACTCTTATAGACAATTTATTGAAGTATCCTGTTTTCTTCCACATTCAGTGTAACTAAAAGTATGAATTGATTGCTATCATTTTGCTGTGGGGTTTTTTTTGGTTGTACTGCTGGTTTCTTTATTCCACAGTTCATTTTGTTTGGGTTTTCTTTTCATTTTTGTTTCTTTGTGTTAATGTGTACTAAATCAATTTTCATCTTTTTAATTTTGATTTTCAGGTATATTAATTTTCTTGAGGATATCCTGTGATTTATTAACTTTTTTCCCTGGACTATTTTATCTTGAAATCTACTTGAATTCCTTGCCATTTGGAAGTTCTGTCTCTGTGCTATTGCCTCTTTTTGCTTTATAGTTGACTTTATTATAAATTGACATCTTTGGTTCCCTATTTTCAGCCTTGTAGGTTTTACTTTTAATATTTCTGTATCTGGACTGAGTTCTGCATAGTGTTGTCGTGTATGTAATCTCCAGTTGAATGCTATTGTTGGCTCTCTGTCCAGAGAACGCACTTTAGCATTTTTTGTAAAGTTGGTCTGGTCACTAGAAATTTCTTTAATTTCTGTTTATTAGGAAAAGTCCTAATTTTGCTGTCATGTTTGAGGGACAGCTTTGCTAGATATATGATTCTTGGTTGGCAAAATTTTCTTTCAGAATTTTGTGTCTTCTTGTCTGCATGGTTTCTGCTAAGAAGTCAGAGCTTAGTCTTTTTGGTTTTTCTGAGTAGCTCTCAGCATTCTTTCCTTGTCTTTGGTTTTGGAAAGTTTGATTATAGGGGGGTGGGATCTGTCTTGTTTGGGGTTTGTTCAACCTTTTGTATGATTATTTCCCCATTTTTTATGATAATGTTGAGTGCCGCAGTGGAGTTGATTTCAACCTATAGTGACCCTATATATGGTTTCCAAGGAGCAGCTGGTGAGCTTGAACCACCAACCTTGCAGTTCAAACAGCTTTGCAGTCTGGTACATTAACCCACAGAGCCACACCAGGATGGCATGAGGGAAGTTTTGTTTCAACAACTCTTCGACAAGTTTCTCTGTTCATTTTATTGTCTACCTGTTCTGGAATTCCGATTGCCCATAAGTTGTTCACTACATGGTGTCCCAATTTACTCTTAGGCTCTCTTCAGATTATTTTATTCTTTTTCCTTCTAGCATACTAGTAATGAGAGATTTATCTTCAAGCACAGTAATTCAGACTTTTTTATTGCTTCAAATCTACTCCTTTGCTCTTTCAATGTATTGCCCATTTCTAGAATCTTAGTACTAATCTTCTAGATTTCTTATTGCAAATTTTGTATTGCTTACAAATTTGCATTTATTTTCTGTTCTTGTAGTGTTTTTCTGAATTCTAAAGTTTTTTCTGTGTTCTCCTTGCTTTCCTGAATCTTTTTGTGAATCCTTGGAAGGTACCTAAATATCATTATTTTGAATTCTTTTTCAGTTAACTCCATTACATTTTATCATTGCAAACATTTTCTGACTCTGCATCTTGGTCGTTTATTCTCTCTTGTTTCTTCATGTGAGCTAAAATTGTCCCTTGTCTCTGGAACATTGTGGTTTGTCGTATTTGTATTTAATTGGTAATTGTATGTTGATGTGTTCTAGGTTCTCACCAACTGTTCTCTTTTGCTGTTTGTGCACCTTAGTTTAGGGTGGGTTTGGCTGGTGTTGGTCAGGTGGTATAGGAGCTGATATTGGTTCTTGCCCAGTGGGTGGAGCTGCAGAGAGTACAAAAGAGAAAAAATAAAATAAAAACAGGCAGCAACCAGAAAAAATAACAACTGTAAAGACAAAAGAGGAACAGGAAAATGGAGCTATAGAAGAGAAAAACAATACAACTCTGGGACCCAGAGTAGAGAAACTCTAGGGGGTTCCTTCAAGCTGAGGAGCTCAGTAGGTGAATATGGGAGGGTTATGACTGGAATTCAAGGTCCTAGATGGAGTTCATACTGGCCTCATTATTATCTGTGTTCACAGCACTCAATCCAGAAGTGGTTTGTGGAGGCCCTTGATGGAGTTATTTTCAGTGTCTGTTAGGACCACAAGGCAGCTGGTGGCAGGGTGACTAGTTAATTGCTGGTCTAATGGCTCTTATGAGTTCTATAACCCCTAACTCAAGCCCATCTGAATCCAGGCACCAAAATGAAGCACCAAATCGGAGCAGCTGGTCCTCCACCTTACAATGGTGTGGTTCCCAACCACATGGCTCCAAACTCCCAGAAAGCAGGTTCTGTTCTGGGGGTAGATGAGGAAGGAAGCTGGTTACACCTTTGGACACCAGAGAAGCATGGGGACAAAGAAGGAATCACACCTTTTCAGTCACCTATGTGACTCTTCTCTCAGGCCACCTTCTATCGCCAAAATGCTCACAGAGGTTCAAAATGGTTGCACCTTGTCTGGCTGACATTCACCAGTCGTCTCCCTTTCTTGCTGTCCCTGCTCAGCATCTCCTCCCAACAAGTACTCAATCCACTTTTCTAACCTTTCTACTGAAGTTCAGAGTTACAGGATTTTTCTCTGTGTCTGTCTTATTTGGTTTCTCGTATATTTGTTGTATAGCTGGGGTGGGAACGTCCGGCCCGCAGGTTGTATAAGCCCAGCAAAATCATTTTGTCTGACCCTACCAAATCAGCTGGAATTCTAGCCACCACATTACTGTTGTTAAGTGCTGTCAAGTTGGTTCATTAGGTAGGGGTAAGTTAATTAAATCTTTGACCAAATATAGAAGTACAGACAGAATGCTCCTTGGAAGCGAAGATGGCAAGACTTTGTCTCACGTACTTTTGGACTTGTTATCAGGAGAGACTAGTTGCTGGGAAGGGACATCATGCTTGGCAAAGTAAAAGGTCAAAGAAAAAGAGAAAGTCCTCCAAAGAGCTAGATTGGCAATGGGCTCAAACATGACAATAATTGTAAGGAGAGCACAGGACTGAGCAGTGTTTTGTTCTGTTGTATATAAGGTTGCTATAAGTTGGAATCATTTTGGTGACACCTAACAACAAGAACAGCAGTATTTATTTTGTTATATACTTAATTATTTTTTCCTACATTCACTTGGAGTCTTGATGTGGTGCCATTAGATAAGCACTGGACTGCTATCCACAAGGTTGGTGATTTAATTCCACAAGTCATTCCTTGGAAACCCTGTACAGGGTCTCTGTAAGTCAGAACTGACTTGATGGCACTTAACAACATAACAGCAACCACCAGCATTCACTTAAATTTTTTTACACTTCTCTGTTTCCACTTTTAGGTATGATTTTTAAGAAAGACCAGTGTCAACAACAGTATTTACAAAACAGTTATTATATTGCAAATACTATGCTAAGTATTTTTTCAGATGATCTCACAGCAGGGATCTGATGTATATACTGTTATCCCTGTTTTACTGATGAGGAAGTCTCTGTCCAAGGTCACGACACTGCTAGTGAGGAGGCAAGCAGTCAGGAAGGAACTTGAATAGAGGCAGTCTTAACCTCTGTGTCCCATGTATGGAAATTATGTGATGTTTGGAGTGAAAAATACTGCCTTTCATCTGCTGTGACAATGTTCAGTGTCCATGCTGAATGCTTTACACCACTATTTGTGTATCATCACTCGAGGAAATTCAGGTGGGATTTTGGTATTGCCTGGCTGTCAAAGAGACTGTGCATCATAATAAATCTTACTAATCAGTTTTACTTTTTTTTCTCTACCCCTCAGTCTAAATTTTAAAGACCCTGAAGCAGTCAGAGCTCTGACTTGTACTCTCCTAAGGGAAGATTTTGGACTTTCTATTGATATTCCTCTGGAGAGACTAATTCCCACCGTTCCTTTGAGACTCAACTATATTCATTGGGTTGAAGATCTCATTGGTCACCAGGACTCTGACAAAAATACTCTCCGAAGAGGAATTGATATAGGTATGTGATTTTTTAAAAAAATTCTTTCTAGACTACACATAAGTTTATAAATGTATCAAGGTTTGATCTTTGTATACTCCTATTGATTATTTGTTGTGTGAAAGAAACTACTGGCAACAGACATTATTTTTCTCATCTGCTACACCTGGGCTTATCTGCCATTGATTTATCTTGGAAGGAATTGTCAATATTAAACAGGGGCAGCAAGAGGGAAAGAGAGATGCAGGATGAAAGCAGGGCTATTATTTTCAGATTTCTATATTAATGTCTGGATTTAGTGGAGATTATTTTCACTGAATTACTTGGTATTAATTTAATAGTCCTCTCGGTGAACTTTTGTGGTGGTGGTCATTTAATAATGAACCATGTGAACTTACATACTTTCAGGAATTTCTTGGATGTTTATTGGTAAGAGGATATTTAACCCAGAATTTAAGGGGAAAAAGTCATCTAATTAATATTCTTTTAATTGTAAACTTTTACAATGGAGGAGACCGCCCCATTTGATTCCTTTGGGAGAGTAAGTGAAGATGCAGAAGGAAATAGAGCCAAAGTAGATTTTATCATTATAAATGTATGCTTAGCCATTGTTTTTATTTGATAGTTTTATTTTTTAAGTTTTAAAATTTCTTTGACTTTTACTAGTTCTTTATTGGAAAGATTGGATTAAATCTTCTGTCCCTCACAGGTCAACATGTTAGGTCCCAAAGACTGGGTCACTTTGCAGATGTCAGCATTGTGAAAAAATGGAGTGTGACCACATTAGATCACAAGATAGAGGATGTGACTATCTTATTTCACAACTGCCAAATTACATTAGTACATAATTGCCAAACTACTGAGAATCATGGTCAAGACAAGTTGATACATAACCTTAACTATCATAGTCAGTGTTACCTTGGTGTTTGTCATTGCCAGATATATGTCATTTATATGCAAAGTAGTAGTAAGATAGTAAATTTCTTACTATTGTCATAAATGCAAAATGTTAGATAATGAGGTTGTTGATAAGTGATTTCTAGATAGTAAATGGTTGACTGACATTTGCATGAATTTTCAGTGAACATTTTTCATCCTCATCTTAGATGACCTTTCAGCAGCATTTATTGACCACTGATTTCCTCTTCATGCACTCTCCTCCTTTGACTTCTTTGGCACTCTTGATCACACTTGTTTCCTTGTTAGCTTATCTAACCATCCTTGTTGTTGTTAAGTATCATCAAGTCGGTTCCAACTCATAGGGACCCGGTATAGGGTTCGTAAGGAGTTATTGTTGAGTTTGAACCACCGACCTTGTGGTTCAAATAGACCTTGTGGTCCAGTGCTTTATCCCATAATGCCACACCTGGTAATCCTTACTTTAGGCTGTCTTTTGCCCTTTTCTCTTATCACTCAGTACTTTGCTTCTAGACAATTGTGTCTACATCTATGACTTTATGTTCCACCTCCATGCAAATATCTTATGAATTTATATATTTTATATACCTCCAACTCATTACTTTTTGTTTTTGTTTTGAATCTCTAACCCACCAGCCACTCCTTGGAAACCCTATACAGGACTCTTATGAGTCAGAACCTATTCAATGGCACTTAACATGAAACATGAATATCTTAAAAATGTCTCAGTTTTATGTTCAAGAACAAACTCATACTCTTTCTTCTTAATCCTGATCTTCCTTTTATCCCTTATATCAATGACTCTACTACAGTCCACCTAACAATGCAAGCCAGAATTCTGGGAGTCACCCTTGATACTTACTTCTCCTTAGTCTCAGTGTCTTGTCTGTCACCATTTCCTATTGATTTTAGTCATCTACCTCTCTGTCTGCACTGCCACCCTTGTAGTCCAACTCACCAACATCTCTCACCTAGTGTCAGAATAGCTCTTCAACAAGTCAACTCCCAACTATTCTGTCCCCTCCTCCATGCCATTCTCTTCATTACATCCAGAAAGAATGTATATAACTCCTATCTGATCACATCTTTGTCACTTCAATGGCTTCCCATTGTTTCTGTGATGAACACTGAAAACCTTGACATAGCCTAGTAGAATCTTCATGCTTTCATCCTTTGTGTTCTCTCTAGGTCTCATTTTATACGCTTCTCTTTTTTGTTTTCTGCACTTGTCTTTTAGTTCTTCAGATAATGTATTATGACAGCAAGCTTTTGTGTATGTTCCTGGAACTTCCCCACTTTTACCTCTCATTTATTCTGTAGCTGTTAACTTAAGTCTTCGTTTCCCAGGAAAGTCTTCTCTAGTCTAAATCAAATTCTTTGTTTATAAGCTTTCAGAAAATCATGATTTTTATCTCATGACATTTATTTTAGGTTTAAATGTCATTCACTTGTGTGATTATTGGATTAATGTCTCTGCTTGTCACTAGATTGCGATTATAGAGCCTGTGTGTTTGTTTTTAATTGTTGTCATATTCCCAGACTTACCAACATTTCTGACATATACTGGATGTCCAGTAGTTAAATTTTTTTTTTTTTATGTTTTATTGTGAATTATGTGGTAGTTTACATGGAAGAACATTAGTTTTACATTCATCCTATTGTATATCATTTCATTGCCATGGTTACAGTGCCCTCCATGCATCATCAACCAACCAAAGGGTATACCCAAGCCTTCCCCCTGGTTGTCATCAAACAGCCCCTCTCCCTCTCTGGATCTAGAGTCCCCAGCCACTCCATCTCTCCACGTCATCGTCTCTGCCTCCATCTCTGGTGTAACTGCTTCTGGGCACGGTCCTGCACTCCACTCTTCTCCCTTGATGGTCCCAGGGACCTCTGCTCCTGGACTGCAAAGTCAACCACTCCCCTCCTTTTGCTACAAAACGTCTACCTTTACATTTCTAATCCTCACAGTCAGTCCTGATAACAGTTATTCACTATTGTATCACAAGAGACCTATCTGCATCTCCTTTCATCAGCCCTGTCCAGACAGATTGGATACCAATAGTTAACTTTTGAATGTTGATGGATAAATCCATGTTTCTTTGAACATTCAAAATTCTGAGCATCCTGTTTCAGGTAAGTACTATATAAAAATAAGGAGTTTATTGAAGTTCCTGCTCTTTTATGTTCATGGCAGAAGATTGGCTGGTGGGTTATATTGTTAGATGCTGTCAAGTCGGGTTCTGACCCATATCAAACCAATGTACAGCAGAATGTACACAGTTGTTGTTATGTTGAGTCCACTATGTCAGTCCATATTGTTGGAGTTGGTCTTCTTTTTCATTAAACCTGTACTTTACTAAGTATCATATCTTTCTTCAGAGACTGGTCCCTCCTGACAACATAGCCAAAGAATATGAGAAGTCTGGCCATCCTTACTTCTAAGGATGTTGTTGTTGTTAAGTGCCGTGGAGTTGGTTCCGACTCATAGCGACCCTGCACAGGGTTGCCGAGGCCGTCAATCTTTACGGGAGCAGAACGCCTCATCTTTCTCCCGCGGAGCAGCTGGTAGTTTTGAACTGCTGACCTTGCGGTTTGCAGCCCGATTCGTAACCACTACACTACCAGAGCTCCTTCTAAGGATAGAAAGCTTAAAATATGTGAGAACTTATTTGGTACTGATTAGTTTTAATTATGCCCTAAACCTGTAAAATAATGCTTTGGGGATATAGGAGGCTAATGAATTTTAGCTCTTCACAAGGGGCACTCATTGCTGAAATCATACCCATTCTAATTAGGATTTTATATAAATTCTTTCCCCAAGATGCCATCAGTTTGTTCCAATTCTATGGTTATATACTTTCCTTTTTTCATTTATTATTTAAAAGATTGTTACCCATTTTTAAATGTTACTTAGCTTTCTTGAGTGTGTTATAATGCTAGATTGCAAGTCTTTTGATCTTTGTAGTTGAGAATTTTACTCATTTGGGGAGGGGGATGACAATCTTTTAACTGCCTTTATTATTCTGTAAGCACCTGATCTTTGGATGGCTGAAGGAAAATATACTTCATCTCTCTTTTTTTTTTTTTTTTTTTTGCTTTTAAACAAATTTGAAGTATAGAGAAGCAATTGTATGAGAATCAAGGGCCTGAGATCTGTTCTGATATTTGTCCCTAAAGAACTGAGAGTACTATGTAAATGCTTCTGTTCTGAAAAATTCTGTCTTACCAGAATGGCTGGAGTCGTGCTGTGGTGCTGAGGGTTAATGCACTGGGCTGCAAAGTTGGCTGTTCAAGCTCACCAGCTACTCTTCAGAAACCCTATACAGGGTCACTATGAGTCAGAGCTGACTCGATGGTACTTAACAACAAATAACAACAACCAGAATGGCTGGGAGAGCAGTAGCTCTGTAGGATAGGCACTGAAATGGGAACCACAGGTCAGTGGTTTCAAGCTCACCAGCCATTCTGTGGGAGAAAGAGGCGGCTTTCTGTTCCCGTAGATGATACAGGTTTGCTTGTGAAATATGAAGACTTCTAATAGTTACTGATGAAGATCAAATACTACAACTTTCACTTTGGGTTACACCACACTGTAAAGAGAATCTTCACAATTAGACCAATAAATAATATCATGAAGTTGTCAAAGATTTCATTTTACTTGGATCCA